ACCAAGATTACAGATATCTGGATCCAACCAATAATCTTAACATTAACCGATACAGATCTAGTTTTTTCAAAATCGTCATCTGTGGGATTCGAACTTTAGACCTGCTGTTTGGGGGTGCGACAACTCCACCACTTCACTAAGTCACTACACCCAAATAAATAAGATTTTAAGAAATCATCTTTATAATATAAATTAGAAAATTAAATATGATTTATTTAGTAAAGTACTTAGCATATAAGAATTTTTTTGCTACTAATTTTATATAATAATATCATTTACCATTAAAGTTACTGAAATATATATAGATGCGATATATAAAACTACACATGGGTGCTATAAACTTTATGGAGTTATCACTGATGTAGACAGTGCTGAGTTTCTGATCACTTATTTAATAATAGATACAACTAAAGCAAAATATTCAAGTGCTACTACAGGAAAGCATAGTACAATATTAGAAAGATTTATAAAGATCTTGAAATCTTATAATATTAATCCAGATTTTGTATTTACTGATAAAGACTTTACAGAAATAAATGCTGTATCCAAAGTGTGAGGAGTTTCTGTTATCCAATTATGTGTGTGGTATTTAAAGAGAGCTGTAAAACGTAAGCTTGAAGAAAAAGCAAAATGATCAAATAATGTTGGATTAATAGCTGTGAAATATAATGCCAATCAAGCTGCCAGAGAGTTTGATTTCATTGATTTCACATTTTATCCAAGTAAAGAAGACTGTAATCCACAGTCATATGTTATTTGCCTATCTCTGTTTTGGGAAGAAATTTTAGAACTTATACAAAGGCACTTTGACTTGCATCTGTTAATATTCATTAATGCACAGGGTGGTATGATATCACCGGAGGCAATAAGAAAAACTGCAGTAGAGAAGATGTATTTATTCTGTACAAAACATGATATAATAATTAATATGATTTTGTTAATTCTTAATTGTTAGGAATAATGCTGAAATTTAGAATCTCTATTTAAAAATATAAACCTATCTATACACTTTAATTACAAACCCTAACCCTAAATCTTAATCCAACTATTGAAATAAGTTCAAATTTCAGCATAATCCAGTTTTAACATCATCTCCAATATTAATCTTACTATTTATAATAAACTAATTATAAAATAAAATATATAAGAATTATGGTTGCTCTGGTCATATCTCTGGACAAATTGGTATTCAGCAAGGCGATGACATCTTTGGGCATGGTCAGCCAAACTGACCATGCCTTATGGGAAAACTATGATAAAAATAGAGGCTCATTGGGATGTTTTTAAATGACTTTATTTACAGCGTTTTAACCAGCCTAGGCTAGACCTCTTAGTGTGAACACTTCTTGATGAAGTGGTTCCATTGCAAAAGGATTGATTTTTGCAAATTCAAAGTAGAACAATAGAACCATACTAACAGGAGGACTTTAAGAAGGAGTGAACTTATATGAATACAAGTGATGAAGAATGAGTAAAGCTACGTGCTAATAGGAGTGGTAAGAAAAAAGAAAGAAGTAATGATAAAGAAACAACTAATTCTGGTAGTTCTAGTTTGTACTATATAGACATTTCTCGTTGGGTATGTAGTTGCCCTGGTTTTGTTAGAAATTGTTTCTTATTATATAAGCACTTGGTTCAAAAATGCGTAAATACGCCTGATGGAAAAAGATGACATTTGATTATAGATGAGTTCAAGTGTTGTACTACACCACCTTTCCTTATTATCAATAATCTTAATACCGACATCCCAGCATCTCAGGTTGTTCAAGTTGTTGAAGTTCCTATTGATAACTTACCAGATAACCGTGGCATTGATATAGATGAAGATCTGAACGAAGAGGCCTGTGTTTATGTTGAATCAAACTGGGAGTTATTTGAGCAGGCATTCCAACGAATCTGTCTGCCAATAATTGGCGACAAGTTAGTGCCATGATGAAATATAGTCACCTCATACTAATAGAAGAAGATATTCAAACTGTTGAGAAGTGTAGAAAATGACAGGCAATTTGGAAAACAGAAAATAGTAAAAAGCCGTATCTTATGTATTTGTCCCTCCCAGAAGAGGAAGTAGAAAATGTTAATGATATTGTGTGATTTATAATGGAATTAGAGATAACTAAAAATCGTTATATACCTTATATTAAGCTCGTAATTTGAAATTTATTATAATTATTCCTTTAAAAATAAAATAATATTTAATATGAGCCTACTTAGGCCATACAAACTTAATTCGGTTTTCATAACATAAAATTTTCAAAAGTGACCCGGCAACCCGGCTTTTAATTTTATTTTCAAAAAATTTTATATATAAAAACATATAAAATTTTTTATAGATTTTATTTAAAAAACTCACCCGGATAATAAATATTTTTTTAAAAAATTTGTAAGGATTGACCCGGCCGGGTTATGAAAACCGAATCATTAAGTTTGTATGGCCTTATAAAGTTAAAGGTGATGCGTAACTAGTTCTAAGTTTTTTGTTTTTTTTTTTTTTTTTTGCTAAGAACAGATTTTCTAAAAGCTTCAAATTTTCTAAAAGCTTCAATAGAACGTCCAGGTTCTTGATCCAAAATAGATTTTTGATTATCGGCGGCTACTGCGACACCTTCAAATTATCACCTCTGCATGATCCGTAGATCATCACCCGAACTTCCGGGGGCGATCCTGGCTGATTCAACCGAAGTCGGTCAATCCACATATGTTCTGAATTTATTGTAGGGGCCAACTCCGGACCGAAACCTGAATGCGCATAATGTATGCTTATTTTTAACAATTTTAACCTTACATGGTTCTACAACTCGTGATGCATATATTTACATAATCTATATGTAGAAATCCTAGGCATGTAAATACATGTCTCAATTTCTATTGTAGAAATTTTTGATGTAAGAGTGCATGTTTTTGCTTCTGTCTAACCTTTCTAACATTTCAAGTTCCAGGGAAGGAGTGAAAGAAAAACATATAAAAGGGCAGTATTTCGAATTTATTGTTATTTGTCGCTTATTAGTGATTTTCACTTACGCATTCTACAGTATAATAAAATTGTAATTTTTTTCAACATGTCAACATTAAAAGCAAAAATCGAATCTCTTTTACTAGAAGCACCTTTAGAAGCCGTTTGCAGTGCTTCGATTTTTTACTTAACAATGGACGGTGATAAAGTGGGTGAATATGATACCATTAGAACTTTGGCTAATAATGCAGTCACTTCCGCGTTACCAAAGATTAAAGATAAAAATCGAAAATCTCAGGTTTTAAAGATATTACCACAGGTTAGTTTTATAATAAATATTATTACAATTTTGTAAATTGATTCATGATGAGATACAGCAGATGAATAAGTTGGCCATTGCTAAGGTCCGAGGAATGCCGGCCCGGAAGAGCGATGTAACCAGGAATTTTTCCTCATGACATCGAGGGTTTCTGCTCCCCCTTGGCCGTGCGTGGTCATTACGAAAGTTTATGTCTGTTTACTAAATCCCCGGGGATTTTGGATCATGATCCACTACTTATTATAAAAATGTGATCACATATTAATTCTTAATTTATTATATCTGCTGTAGATGAAAGACGGGTATAATTCTATCATGGCCTAAATGCATTAAAGGCACTAAATATAACACAAGAGGATCTAGACTATACGAAAGAAGAAATTGATCAAAATATTAGAACATTGAGATCAAGGCTCAATTCTCCCATAACAGATATGACAGATGCGGATGTAAGCCTCTATGATGCTCTTCTTAAAATATAGACGATTTAGTGGATGTTTCCAAACTTACATGGAAAGATCCAATTGCGAGTACGGTTCTCAGTGACGATTCGGAAGTGGTAGAAAATTTAGGCAAAAGACAGCGATGAACCTTTTTGGTAATAATATATAATATAGTATATATTGATGAAATTTCATCAAAAAACATCTTGTGAATAAGTTTATTTATAAACAACTGCATATTACCTAGGAGCCTCGAGAGAAAATGAAATGCAAACTCCCTAATTTAGTTTCTCTTAAGTGCAACGAGTTTGCAAATAATTTTCACAAGATAAGCATTCTGGATGAATTTAAAGATATCAGACATAATGGTTTATGGAAAGAGAGGGAATCTGATCTAGGAAAAATAACCGAACAAATTCTTAGTACACTGTAAATAATTAGTAATTTTTTATACGTATGTTTTTATCGGGCTAACTTAATTTATATTATACATTTAGAGGAAATGTGTGGAATAACCCCGCCTTCGAGACGAGCATGTCCCGTAATATGCAAAGTGAAGGGACTTACATTACTGATATAATCATGCCTTTACTTCGGGCAACTCTGGGTGACCTACCAAATAGCTGTATATGTTTAAGTACAGCTGAACGCCAAAGCTTGGCAAGTAAGGCGCGTAGAAACGATGGAATAGGTGAGGAAAAAATGGGTAAAAAGCCGGATATAATGGCACTAGAAAAATGTAATGGAAAATTAGTGGAATTTTTATTCGCAGAATGTTCGCGTGTCTCCTGCAGTGCCACTAAAAAAGAAGAGGATGAAATAAAATTATGGAGAGAGTTGTTGGATGGGAGTAGCTTTATAAATTCTGCATGTAAACCTATTCATAATCAGTTCGGTGTAGTTGGAATTCAGGTGGCTGGTGAGAGAATATATTTAAATGTTCTCATGAATGATACAAATTAAATACCAAGATACTTCCACCTGGATCATGCAGATATCCCATTAACTTCGGACACGCCGTGGCATGTAGAGCCTCTTCTACGATTATTATTAACCTTAAGAAATATCATAATTGTGAATAAGAGTTTGCTAACGCAGGTGTTAGAGCAAGCTATTTCGCATCCGCCTCGAAATGTTCACACAAGTCCCACTGTCTCTTCACCGCGTAGAGAAGAGCCGGGACAAAAAAGACCCAGGAAGAATAGTAAAACCAGAAGGTTGACTAAACGAAAAAGTGCATATTTTTAGAATACATCTATATTTTTTACTTTTATTTTTTACTTTTATTTTTTATAACAATAAAGCTGGCCCTGGTGGCTGATTTCGCATACATAATCAGTTTACTTTTGCGTAGTGTTCCGCACAGATCGGATCGGAGGGATCTTTTTAAAGATCTGGATCCGGTCCGAAAACCCGGATCAGATCCAAGTCCAGATTCGGATCTGAATAAGAAAGATCCGAATCCGGATCCGGATCCGATAAAAAAAGATGCATTATCAAACAGGTAATGTATTAAAGTATTTATTTACATAATCACTGATATATTTAATTTATTTAATATTTATTATTTCTTAAATCGGTAATAATTTAATAAATTAAAATGGCAAAAATTTCAAGTGAAGATTTATAATCAAAAAAAAAGAAAAAAGACAACTTTATCACCGGATACATCAATTTTATTTCTAATTTTAAACAGAAATAGGATTCCTATTTATTTTCATCAATGTATTTATTACCTCCGCCTATTATATGATATTATCTTAATGCAAATGATTCATCATATCTGCCCATTATTCCCACGAATTATTAATGCAAGTGTATCATCTAGTTTAGTTTCAAGACTTTTTAAATGTGCAAGTGACTTTACATATCTGCCTATTAAAAATAAATGCTTCCACAACTTCTTAATGCAAATGTATCATCCAGTTCAATTTCTAATGATTTATTAAATCGGCAAGCAATTTATTACTGTATATCTGCTCAAGTATGACTTAAATATGATAGTAAAAATAATTACTCAATTTAGAACTATTTAAAATAATAATATTAAGTTATATACATACGCTTCATCTAGTTCTCTCCACCAAGACCTGAGACACATAGCTATTCTTACTGTCTTTTCGCTCAATCGACTTCACTTTTTAGTTATCATATCACCACTAATACTAAACACTTGTTTACTTAGAACACTTGTAGTGGGTATCAGAAGACAGTCTCTGGCAAACTTTGAAAGATTTGGATAATTAGATTTGTTTATTCGCCACTATTCTAAAATATCTATGTGTGGATCTACAAGTGGTGTATACAAGTATACATCAAGCTTGCTCTGATATTCAATATGGGTTCGTTTGTAAATTCGTGACATTATATTCGTTTGGGATGGTTCAACAATCGAGTTTACTATCTCTTGACCAGGAACAGGTGTAACGTAACACGAACAAGAATTTTCAAATAAGCGTTCATTCTTCAAAAATCACAAAAAACCACCTTAACATTATAAAACACCATTTCTCAATGATTTCGATAAACCAATCAAGCCCACTGAGGGAGGTGCTTTGAGAACTCCCTTAGTAAAGTTTATGTTACACGACGCGTGCTTTAGTGACACAAATTAATTTTTTGCAGCTTTTTTATTTTACATAAATTAGAATACACCGAATTTATATAATATATACGGAAAAAATGGCATTTAAACACTTTGAAAAACTTTCAAATAATTATATCGAACTTCTTGAAAAAGGAAATGACTTTAATGTTATTATTAAAGTAGGAAAATCTACAGAAATAAAGGAATTTAAGGCACATTCAATAATTTTAAAATGTAGGTCTTCATATTTTCAGGATAAATTAGAAAATATCAAAGACTCCGGTAGTATTCTGAAAATTGATTTAGAATCACATATCTCTATTCAGCATTTTGAAATAATAATTAAGTAAGTCACATAATATTATTAATTTGATATTTAATTTATTACTGTATGTTACAGTATATCCTGTATATAATTTTAACATGATTCTAATAATTAGATATATTTACGGAGGTTTTGTTTCTCTGGAAGACTTTGATGCCCAATTTATTTTTGATCTTATCTTAATTGCAGATGAGTTCCTCCTTGATGAATTAGTTGGATCTATTGAAACTTATATAATCGAGTCTAAAGCACACTGGTTACGCTCACACTTTTCTCATGTTTATAAGATATGCTTTCAAAATAGCAAACTAGAAGAGCTTCAAAATTGGTGCAATAGCATTTTGGCAAAACATCCAAATATTATTCTTGATTCTGAAGATTTTAAATATCTTAATGAAAATGCATTGGTTTCACTTATTAAACGTGACGATTTGCAAATGGAAGAGATAAAGATTTGGAATTATAT